TGTCCTGGATTTCCACCCCTTCCCTGACACATTCCCAAACCAGCCCCAGAGCAGCAGCTGAGGTGGTGTGGGTGAAAATCCATGGCTGATTTTGGATGGATTGGGATGGTTCCCTGGGATGGTTCCCAGCCCTGTGCAAAGCCTTCCTCCTCTCTATCTGAAATCAGCACTGTCTTAATTAACTTATTAAGCTTGTGCAGTGACAGGGCTGCAGGGTGACAGGGCTGCAGGGTGACACAGTGACAGGGCTACAGGGTGACAGGGCTGCAGGGTGACACGGCTGCAGGGTGACACAGTGACAGGGCTGCAGGGTGATGCAGCTGCATGACTGTGTGGCTGCAGGGTGACAGAACTTCAGGGTGAAAGGGCTGCAGGGTGACACAGTGACAGGGCCACGGGTGTGGCTGCAGGGTGACAGGGCTGCAGGGTGAAAGGACTGAAAGGATGACACACGGTGAAACGGCTGCAGGGTGACCCACTCGCAGGGCTGGAGGGCGACAGTGACAGGGCTGCAGGGTGACAGAGCTGCAGGGTGACAGCTGCGGGGTGACACAGTGACAGGGGGACATGGTTGCAGGGTGACAGGACTGCAGAGCTCCAGGGTGACACGGTGACAGGGTGACACGGTGACAGGGCTGCCTGGCCGCAGGGTGACACGGTTGCAGAGCTGCAGGGTGACACGGTGACAGGGTGACACGGTTGCAGAGCCGCAGGGTGACACGGTGACAGGGTGACACGGTGACAGGGCTGCCTGGCTGCAGGGCTTTGTGCCCTCTCGTGGCTGAGCGGCCCGTCCCGCACTGGAGCTTTTCAGCGGGAGGAAAGAATGAGAGATCCCCCTTCCATCTCCCCCTTCTGGGAGATCCCCCAGAAGGTTTCCCCGGGGAAAACCGAGCAGGAAAGATTACATCCAGGAAGTGAATCTGTTCTCGAGAGCAGTTTGATGAATACAAACGCGTCCAGGATCCGTGGTGTGGCACTTGCCAGCTCTTGTTGGGTTTACGTAAGGATTGGAAATAGGAACCGTTCCACGCCGGGCGGGAGCGTCGGGAACGGCTCCAGCTCCCTGTTTGGGTTGGGGGGGGGGAATGTTGTTGTTGGAAAACGCCAATTTGTGAAAATGGAAACGTTTGGCAAGAATCTATCCATTCTGACACACTTGTGTCCAAGCAGAGCCAGGGAGACTCTGGAAAGGCGGGAAGGGGGAGCAGAGCATTCCCACCCTCCTCATCCTCAGCGCGGGGCACAGAGCTGATGCCACGGGGCCTCTTGGCACTGCCAGCTCCCCCCCGGGGCGGCCGGAGGAGCAGCATCTCTTCCATTCTCACCTCCAAAATTGAGGGGAAAGGCTTAAAACGGGAGCTGGGGGTTTGCTCCAGGTGTCACAGTGAGGGCAGGAGGCACGGAGTGCTCCGGGGGCCTGTGCTGTGCCCAGGGCTGCCCCAGTCCCACACTGGATGAGCTGGGGGGCCCTGCAGGAGGGTCCTTGGATTCAGCTCAGACCCCACCGGACAGGGACCAGCTCCCTGCCTTGCCTGCAGCTCAGGCAATTGAGAACAAACAGCTCAGGTGCAATTTTTCAGCAAAATCGAGATGTTTTGGTTGAAATACAGGAGTTCTGCAATGAGCAGCTCTGCTGCTCCCCCTGCTCGGTGCCCTCGGCTGGCAGTGGCCACCCAGGGGTGGCTGTGCAGGGCATGGACCATGGGAGCAGCACAGTGTGGAGCTGTCACAGCCAGCCATGCCTTGGGAATGGCGCTGGGAGGATTCATCCTCACCCCTGGGACGAGCAGGGACAGGCACTGCCATACCCTGTATCCTGACATCCCAGCTTGGGATGCTCCACGGAGGGGCTGGAGCGTGGTCAAAGGTCCAAGCTGGCTGGGAGCTCCCACAGCAGTGATTCCTGGGGCTGCCAGGCTTGCAGGGGTACCAGAGGTGTCCCAGCCCATGGGATGCTCAGGGATGGTGTCACTCCCTCCGTGCAGACCCAGCACCAGATCTGCAGTTTGCCTCAGCTGGGAGTGTCCAGTGACCCTTTCAAAAGGCCGTGAGAGCCGATGCCAGAAGTAGTTGTGCACATAAATGTGGGTTGAATTGGGTTTTTTGGGGAGGGTTCCCTTCAGCCAGGTGTATTCCCTTTTCTCTGTGCAAGCTCAGCCCTAAAGGAAAGAGACACCGGGACAGGGCAAGCTCTGAGGACAGCCATCCCCAAATCCCCCTGTGTCCCATCCCGGGCTCACCTGGAGTCAGCTGTTCCCATTGTGGGCTGAAATCCTGGTCCCAAAGCAGGAGAGGGTCATCTGGGACAGCCCAGTGACGAACCCTGAGGGCCAAACACAGCAATATCAGCACAGCACCACATGAGCTCAATGTCCCCCTTGCCCACCCTCTCCCCCACCCCAAATCCAGCAGGATGGGACCCCCACATCCCAACCAGCCCTCTCAGCACCACGACCCTCCTCCAGAGCCCCCCCTCTGCCGCGGGCAGGCGGGAGCCGCAGCGCGGGTGCTCTGGGATTTCCCCAAGTTTGTTATTACAAAGAGAGAAAGAAAAGGGCTCAAGGGATCAGCAGGGATGAAAAATGCTTTGGGAACACAGGAGATCATTTAGCAGGTCACCTCCACGGCGGGGTTTGCCAGGCTGATAAAGGCGAGCAAACTTATTAAGGCGCTCACAGCTTGATTCGAAACGGCTGCTCCAAACAGCCAATTACTCCGGGCCCTTCCAATCCAATTAGGAAAGGCTGTTTCCCTGATTATGGTGGTGTGTTGTACAAATACAGCTCAACTCCTCGGGTTCAAAGAGCAGCCCATAAAAGGGAGCTCGGAGAGAGGCAAAGCAGCCCCAGCAGCCAGGGAGGCAAACCCCATCCCTAGGGATGCAGAGAGGCAAACCCCATCCCTAGGGATGCAGAGAGGCAAACCCCATCCCTAGGAATGCAGGTGGCCCTGTCCCCAGGGAGGTGGGGTGCCCAAGTCTGACTGGAAGAGCAGCCCTGTGACCATCCCTAAAGCAGCTCAGCCCCTCCAGACAAGGAGGCAAGGTCACTCTCCACTGTGGTCCCCACCACGAGCTGTCCCTTGAGTCATCCAGACAGGGATGTCACCGGGATTTCTGGCAGTGCCACCCCCTGGAGCTGAGAAAAGGTCACCCCTTGTCACCCAGCTCAGCTGGCCTTTCCCCAGAGACCTGTCAAGCTTTGAGGTTTGCCCATGGGGTATTGGAAGAAACCCATCATCATCAATGTCACATTGCAGAGGGATTTATCCTGATCCTGCAGGTGGGAGTGGCAGGTTTTACAGAGGGAGAAACAAACCCAGGTGGGATCTCTACCAGAGCTCACCAGGGCCAGCAAAGCCAGAGCAGATCATAGAATATCCTAGGATATGAGCAAGGAGGAGGAATGGATCCTGTCTCCTTCTGGTTAGGATCAGGAGTGCTTGGTGCAGCACACGGAGCTGATCCTGTCTGCCCCGGGTTTCCCATCACCTGGGGCAAAGGAGACACCAAAACTCATCACCAAAGTCTGAAAACCAACCCACAAACCCTTGCTCCGAGGAGCTGAGCTGGGCTTGGGGGGGGCCAGGGCTGAGCCCCAGCTCCAGCAGCACCACAGCCATCCCAACCCTCACCACAACCGCTCCAACGGGTTCGCTCCAGAATCCTGGCACGCGGCCACCGCCGGGGCGGAGCCCAGCCCCTGTTATTAAAATGTGTGACAGCAGCTCAAGATGGAAAGTGAAGTTGTACATTCTCCATCTGAAACTCCGGGAGGAATTTCAAGCAGGGGGAATGCAATTTCCAGCCTGGAGCGGAGCCAGCAGCACCAGGGCGAGATTTTTCTTAATATGGCTTTGGAAAACTCGAGCGCAGAAAATCGCCCGTAGCTGCAGCGACGCCGGGGAGCAGGAGACAGCCCCGGGCCGGGAGGAGGAGAGGGCTTCCTGCAGCAAAAACACCCACCAGCTCCAACAAGCTGCTGTCCCTGTCACCTCCAGGACCTTTGGTCACCTCAGCTCCCTGCTCCAGCCCCGGCTTCGCTGGGATTTGGGGGCTGAGCCACGTGGAGGCAGCGTGGCCCCGGGACAAACCCGCTCTCCTGGGAAGGGAGAAGCATCCCAGGAGCGAGGGGTTTGGCAGGGTGACCTTGCTCCCTCCACCAGCTCCTTGTTATTCTCCTGGTGGCACTTTGGGACAGTGACCTCCCGGAGCATGGGGACCCCCAGCCACCCTCTGCCTCCACACCAGCCCGGGGAGCACAGCCACAGCTGGCTCTCAGCCAGCTGGAATCACAAAAGGAGCCTCCCCCCCCCATTTCTGCTTTTGATTTAAATAATCCCAATAAGGGGATAAAGCAGCCAAAACCCTGATTTTGGGGTTTTTTTTGTTTGTTTTTTTTTTGTTTAAAAAGCTTCAATTTAAAAAATAATACATGTGAAATGTGCGATTTTTATTAGGGCAGGCAGAGCCACGGGGCATCAGACAGAGCCCTTCGCTGAGCAAACCCCATCCCCGGGACTCCAACATCCTCAGTGCGGCTTCCCAGCCCTGCCCTGACCCCAATTCCCTCCTCATTTCCCATGCTTACACAAACTGTTCCTTTCCTGGTGCCTTCCTGGGTGAAGGTGCAGGAGTGACACCAGTTTCACATCATCCTGGGAGTGATAAAGTGACAGGGATGGGAGAAGGCACAAAAGTGCTTTTTTTGTGTGTTTAATTTGCTGTTACCCAGTGACTGGTCACACAGGTCTGTGGAAGAAGAGGAATTTCCTTATCCTGGTTGGATGTATGGAGCAGCAAGGGCATTTCCAGCAGAGAAAGTCCCCTTTGGAAGGAGCCAGGGAATACCAAGCACTGGGATGGTGAAACAACACTGTGCAGTAGGTGATGGATGCAGCCAAAGCTGAGAGTGTGGAGCCCATCCAGCTCAGCCCACAGATGGATTGGGATTTTCAGTGAGGTTCTTGGCTTCCTGGTGGATGTTTCAGGGGATCTTCAGCCCAAAAACCTGGGGATGGAGGTGCATTCAGCACTGGGGGGCTGGCAAAACCCTTGAGGGTCTGTTGGAGCCATCTCTGTCTTTCCCAGGAAGGGAGGGAGGAAGATCTCCAGCCCCACCTTCAGCCCTTCTCTGTCGGCCTCTCCAGCACTCCTCACATCCTTTATTCCCGTTATCCCTGTGTCTCTGCTCATCCATCTGCTCCACAGGCTGCTCCCTGTCCAGCCAGGGGGATCCTGGCAGCTGTTTTACCTGCTCTTTACAAGCTCAGTAACTCCCTGGAACCATAATGGTGTGTTCATTGCTGATCTCATTTGGAGTTAATTACATGGCAAACAGACATCTCTCTAATGAGCTTGGAAGCTTCCCAGTAAGGGCTGGGAGCAGCCCATCAATAGCCTGGGAGTGCAGGAATTCATCCTGCTGGTGTTTCAACACCCGCTGCTCACTTGCAGGTCTAAATCAATAGTGTCATCCCACTCGGAGTGGGGGAAGATGAGGCGTCAGTTCAGCTCTGGGGGAGGAGCAGAACATGAGGGAACCTCTCCTGGCCACAGCAGGTGAGATCCAAGGCCTGGCTGGACAGGGCTTGGAGCAAGCTGGGATTGTGGAAGGTGTCCCTGCCCACGGCAGGGGGTGAAACTGGATGAGCTTTAAGGTCCCTTCCAAACCAAACCCTTGTGGGATTCGATGATTCTCTGATTTCCATTTTAAAATGCACCTGCAGCATGTTGGCAACAGGGGCACTGCAAGGTTTAGTCCCACATTTTTAGCCTAAAACCAGGCCTGACTCCATTATGTCATGCCCCTGTCGCATTGTGCCCTGCTGCTGGGCTGGGGGCTGCACCAAAGGCACTGGGACAGCACTGGTGTGGGACTGGGGAGCCTGCAAGGTGCAGCAGCACCCATGAAGTGAGGGTGGCAAGGGAGGGAGGGCAGCCCCGAGGGTGGGACCGCGGTACCAGACCCACCGGAGAAAGGCTGGAGCCGAGTTCCCCCTTCCCCAGGCAGGCAGGGCCAGCTCCGTGCCATAAAACAGGCTCAGCTCTTCACCTTGAAGGGCACAGCTGGAGAATTACATCCTAAACTCCCCGCAGATCAGCTGGGAAGCACGCAGAGCTCTTCCCAATCCAGCTGGGACGCATCCTCCTTCCCTGAGTCACAGCCACGAGCTCTGCGTGGCCGTGCCCAATCTCTGTGGGAAATGGCCTCTTCCAAGCAAATCCTTTACAACTTTCCTCTCTTTTTTTTCTTTTTTTCTTTCCAGGGGAACAAAAAACCCAAACCCAACCCGTGGGGGGGGGGGTTAGGGGGGTGTTTTCCGTGTTTTCCTCTAAAAAAATCCTGTTGCCAGGTGCAGATGGCCACGTTTACGAGTCTGTGGAGCTCTGGCATGCCCACTGCTAATTCCATGCACAGGTGGGGGGTAGCTTTCATTTGGCTCTGGTTCAGCCAAATATCCAGTGGCCAAAGGGAGAGGAAGGTGTGGGATTGAGGATTGGAACATCTGGAGCGGAGCCAAGCAATTAATGAAATGTGAATTTGGAAGGAAACGTCTCAAATGCGTTGAGGGTAAAAAGGGGGGTTCAAAGGGCTCTCTGGGGCCAGCCAGGAGGGAGGCAGATCCCAGTGTCCTTCTGTCAGGTGTTTGGTTGGGTTTGGAAACAGGAAAATAATGTGGTGTCAAAGAGGGAGGCAAAACCCACAACGGGATCAAACCCCGGCCCGCTGCACCCCCAGCAAAACCTCCACTGTGGCAATGCAGACTCTGGAGTTTGATGTGTTAATACCTGAATGTCACAAGTTTTTCAGTAGCAGCAGCGGGATCAGGGTCCAACTTTGGGTCAGAATCCTGACTTTTCACCTGACCAGACAGGGAGGGTCCCACTCCCTGGGCCAGCCTGGAGCTCCCATCCCTGGAAGTGTCCAAGGCCAGGTTGGACAGGGCTTGGAGCAACCTGGGCTAGTGGAAGGTGTCCCTGCCCATGGCAGGGGGTGGAATGAGATGGGCTTTAAGGTCCCTTCCAACCCAAACCATTCCGGGATTCCATGACACCCATTTCCCCAAGCAGTGGATGCATCGTGGATACTCAGCTGCTGAAACCACAGCCTGGTGGGCAGCAGGTCGTGCTGGAGCCACAACCCCACTTCCCAGGTGAAAGACACCCCTTTTCCAGGAAGACCTTGGGTGTCCCCCGGGATCAAGGAGCGGCGAGCGGAACGGGAGCACCGCTGCCCCCGGAGCAAGGGCAGGGCTGGGTCCAGCTGCTGAGCCTCACCCAGCAGGCCAGGGCTGATCCCGCTCGTCTCTCATCGTGTGTGATGCACATGCTGAAGCAATCAGCAGGGAAAGGCTGGAAGGGCTCCAAAGTGGGAGAGGGTGTGGGGTACACGCGGCTCCCCAGGGCCCCGGGGCTGCCGAACCTCGTGCACCAACACACCGCAGGTGCCGGGGGCTGTGAGCACTTGCCCGGCACCTCGGAGCTTTGGGATCTGCCTCCCGGCGCCCAGACCCCTCCCAGCTCACATCCACAGGGAAAGCTCCGGGGGGAAAAGCCCCATTTAGAGGCAAAAGCCTCCTGGTGCCGAGGATCCCCTTTCCCGGGGATGTTGGCATCTGGTTCCCATAGCAGAGGCCCCACATGTGCTGTGTGACCCCCGGGCCCCAGCCCCTCCCCAGAAGGCAGGTCAGCGCTTGCCGGGGCTGCGGGAAGGAGCCGGGGATTGTCTGGAGCGGGGCTGATGACAGGAGCTTTCAGGCTCATCACCCGGGCTCTGCCACAGCCCGGGCAGACGGAGACGGGAGCGGAGCCGCCCGTAACCTGAGGCTCCTCAGCCCGGGAGAGACACCCCAGGGACCTCAGACCAGCACGGCCTCCTGGTGCATCCCACGCCCCTGATCATCCCAGCACTCGGGTGCTGGTGCTCCAAGACTCTCCTGTCACTTCCCACTGGAGTCAGCTGGAGCAGAAGCCCCCAACACCAGCCCTGGTTCATCCACGTGGGACCCTCTGGCTGTTCCTCCAGCTCCTGCCAAACACATCCCAACAGCAGCAGCCCCTGCTCCCGTGGGATCTTCATGGATACACCCCCAGAGCCCCCTGGAGAAGGGAAGAGCCCAACAGCCCTCACTGGAGGGAGCACAGGACCGTGGAGGGGAGTACAGGGCTGTGGGGATGGATGGATGGATGTCCCCACCTTGGGTCTCACCCATCACCAGACCCAGCTTGGGAGCACAGACAAAAACGAGAGCCCCCATGAATCCAAAATGCTGGGAACAGGTTTCAGGATGGTACCTCGGGGATGGAGCCCAGATAAGACCCCTGTCTGTGCCACAGTTCCCTCCTGCAGCAGGGTTGGAGTCCCCAGGGCAGTGCCAGAGGGGACTGGAGCAGCCCAGCACAGGGGACCAGGGAGTTTTCCAGGCACCTCCTCGTGCTGGGGGTGTCAGGTAGCCACAGCCAGGCTTTTGCATCCCAGCTGCCAGGATGAGGCTGGAGAGCTTTGGAGACAGCAAGCCAAAGGCTGGGAGAGCCTTAGATGCAGGGACCAGCTGCCCACCACCCCCTGAACGGGGACAACTGGGACGAGCCTGCTGGCTCTGCCCCCATGTGCCTCCCGGGACATCCCTGCATCCCTCTCCCTCGTGTCATCCCCACCTTTACCTCTCACAACTGCTGGAGCTCCTTGGAGCATCCTCTGGCTCCCCAGAACACCCAGGGCTGCCAGACTCCCCCACCCCAAGCCCCTCTCCCACCGCCCCCCAGGGCAGCACCAGCCCGCAGGACCCACCACCCCGGGGCTCATGTGAACACCCCGTGGTCATTTTTAACCTCAGATCTTCGGCGTCATTAATAACACACATGTGGGTCGGGGCTCCCCTGTGGGATCACATCTGGGGGATATTCATCACGGCCACCGCGGGCTGCAGCCCCCACCCCAACCCCCGGCACGGGATGGGTCACATCTGAGCGCTGAGCTGCTTGATGTGGAGTCATTAGCATCACAGACTTCCAGCCCAATTACTTGACAGATGAAATCAAGATCCGTTGGCCTTATTGTTTGCATCTGGAGTGCTGCATCCGCACACACTCTGCCTCCTCCTCCTCCTCCTCCCTGGCCACGACAGTGCCAGTGTTGGCTTCGTCTGGATGTCGTTTACCTCAACTTGGCACACGGGAATATATCAAATACCCCCTGGTCAAATCGGCGCTCTCCAGCAGCAATTATCCCCAGCACCTTCAGAGAGGAGAAGATGCACCATTTCCCACCTCCACCCGCTGGTTTCCCTCCCACCAGCAGCTCCACAGGAGAAGGTTTTGCTCTCCCGGCGATCCCGGAGCGCAGCCCAGGTGGATCCCACCCCAACCTGTTTGCAGCTCCAGTTTTGCAGCCAAGCTGCTGCTATTTTACCGACTGATTTCACACAAAGGAACAATTATGCTTCATTTCTACCCATTAACACGTCGAGTTTGCTTTAGGAGGGGGGGGGAAAAAAAGGGGGAATTGCATCAGAAATATTTGAGGTGCTGAAGTCAGCACGCAGGTGTTGGGGCCGGCGCGGTGCCGGCAGCATTCCAGCGCCAGCCCGAGCAGAAAGCTCCTAATCCCGGTGATTACAGCACATAAACACGGGCGTGGGGATGGACTCATACCCCGGGCAGCCCCTGGGTTCGCCTCAACCCCGGAGCCTCACCGGGAGCTGTTGGCTGGGGAGAGGAGGTGAATTCTCCCCACGTGCCTCCTGCTCCGCTCGAGGAGCTGATGCGTCGCCGGGGGTTGGGACCAAGGGGCTCTCCCGAGGAGCCCCGAGTCCCCCAGGGCCATCAGGGTCAGCCATGGGCAGAGTGGGGATGGCCCTGGGTGCTGCAGGAGCATCATGCCCAGGACAGGGGTTCTGCCGGCTCGCCTGGCACGCAGGGTGACACCCATCCCTCCCCCGGGCAGCACAGAGCCACGGCAGGGATGAGGCAGTGCCCTGGAGGCAGGCACCGAGCAGCAGAAGGAATTTGGGTTTCCTTTTTCCCCCCTCTAACCCATCTGTCCTTAATTTCTTTGGGGGTTTCACTCCAAATTCTTTGGATTCTACAGCAAATGCTTTGCAGTCCTCCCCTCGGCGGCTGCCCAGCTCAGGGCTCTGCTCTGGTTGCAGAGGGAAGGGAAAATCCCAACCCTGCAAATTCACCAACAATAACCCACGCCCGGGGGTTATTTGTTGATCCGTGGGATTGTTATTATCTGTTTTGGGTTGGTTGGTCACTTGTTGGTCCATCCCCCTCCCTGTTCTGGGGGCTGTGCCAGCCTGTCCCTCCGTGCAGCAGCAGGGGACAGCAGATTTGGTGGCAGGGGACACCATTCCCTGTCCCAGCCCACATCTGTCCGTGCCGTGCTCTGCCTTTGCCAGCGGCTGGATCAAGTCCTGCCAGCGGTGCCCGGGAGGCGCAGACCGCTGTGCCAGGAGTCCGATGTCCGCCTCGCCAGAGCTCTGCCGGGAGGTGTTTCCATTTCCTCTTATCATTTGTAGCAACAAATCGCTTGTTTTGCCCCTAATTTCGCAATTACACGTTGGTGGCTCTGGGCTACCAGCGAATGCAAATGTCTGGGGCTGGGGAGCCCCCGCGGTGTGATGTGCCCTGCAGTCTCTGCTAATTAGCCGCTAATTTTACAGACTCCTTTATGGTTTGCAGTCATTTAATGCTCCTCATGGGCTGGAGCTCTCCGGGGAAGCACCAGCGCGGCTCAGCAGCGGGTCCCTGGGGAGAGGGGGCGGCAGCAGAGCAGGACCCCGGCGCCAGCCAAGCAGGTCCCCAGGATGCTTGGAGCAGCCTGGGAAGCATCAGGAGTCACTCCCAGCCTGGCTGAGGCTGAGCTCGGGGTGGTCACAGCTCCCTTTGGGTGCTCCCACCCCCCTGGGATGTCAGGATCCAAAATACCCCCCACCCCACTGTCATGCAAAGCTGAAAATCAGATCCTGCCCAGCACTGGGTACAACCAGCCCTGCTCCAGCAGTGACTGGCACAAGCCCACACAGAGGCTCCTTCTGGACCCAGTTTTGAAGATTTAAGCAGTGCCTTGGATTAACACGGGAGCACAATTCCTCCCTGGAGCCCACATCCAAGCCACAGGTTTGATAAGCATCAGGACACTTTGATAAGCATCAGGACACTTTGATAAGCATCAGGACAGAGGTGCTGGCCCCAAATGGAGAAATTAAACAAATACCTCACATATTTGGGTGACTCACACACATGAGCAGCTATAACTGAAGGGATGATCCGCCCTTCACGTGTATTGACAAATTACAGCCTCTCCTCATTCCTCCTTTAGCCCCCATCAAGGTGGAGGCATTGGCCTGGTGTTTGCCCCTCACAGGGAGCCCAGCTCCCAGTGAATCCCTCCGAAACAAGGGACACTCCAGGGTTATCCCTGCTGATTGCCTCCCGTTCCCATCCCGCAGCACCGCAGGGGGATGGGACAGCCTGGACCAGCTCTGTGGGGGCTACTGGTCTGTACCTCACCTCGTGGAGGGACTGGGGGATGAGGAGGGTCACATTTCCTGGGGACTGAGTGATCCAGGGCGTTCAAAAGCTCTTTGAGTGCCGAATCCACAATCCCTCCATGCCCTTCCCACCGGAGCAGGAGCAGCACAGGCAACCGGTCCCACTGGTCCCCCATATCCTGCTGTCCGTGGGCTGGGCAGGAAAGGTGGGCAGTCTCCAGTCTTGCATCTTAGGAGCCATCCCTTAAATGAGCTATTTTAATTAAGTGCAATCTAAGTCATGTGGGAATGTCAGGAGAGATGATGGAAAACATTTCACGGCTTCCTCAGCCCCTGACCCGTCACCGACCCAGCCCCACACCCTTGGGCAAACTTGAACCCACAGAGCCAGAATTCCCAGGAAAAGAGCACAACACCCTATTTTAGTCCCATTATCCGGGGTTAGCGTGTCCAGACAGGTGACAGGGAGCTGTGTGGATCCATGTCCCCCCACCTGGACAGACGGATGGACGGATGGACACGGGATGTGGCCGGGAGGGGCAGCACCTCCTGCCTGTGTTACCTCCCTGCCAGAGCCTTGGTGCTTCACCCGCCAGAGCCAGCAGCTTAAATTAATCTGAGATTAACTAGTTTGAACCCTTCCTTTGGATCTGATGCCTGTGAGATTGGTTTGAAAGCTCAGAGAAGTTGATTTCCAGCAGAGCTGTGGCGCTGCTGGCAGGAACAGCCCCGGCCATAAAATCCCAGCCCCTGCTCAAGACGTCAGAGGGGAACAAAGATAGACTGTGATGCAGGAAAGATGCTCGAACTTAAAATAATCTGGGAGGAACGAGCACAGCCCTGCAGACACATGGCCCCAGCATCACTCCCGAGCGGAGCTTTTCCTCTTTAAATAGACTCCACCACTTTCCAGCCTTCATTTTCCATCTAAGAACGGTGCAGTTCAAAATCCTTGGATCCTCCCGGGTGCTCCAGGAAGCCCCTCAGCTCACCCCAAACACGCCAGCTCCTCGGAGGTGGCCTCTGAGCACCCAGTCCTGGAGGGAATGTGGGCTCTGCAGAAATCCTTGGCAGCCTTCCCACAGCTTCCCTACTCCTGAAATTAAAGGATCGAGCCACAACAACCCCTCCATCTGAATTCAAACGAGCTGTATTTGCTGTTCATGCTAATTGAATCAGGTTAACTCCAGGCTGGATGATAAGCAGAGCAGTCCCTTACAGTTCCTGGCTTCATTATATTCGAAGTTCAGACAAACACTCACCAGAGTGTTCTCGGCTTCAAAGCACTGGAATTTGGTCCTGGGCTGTTTTCATCCTGCCCTGACGAGGCTGGATGGGAATTCGGTGGGTTTTTGGGGATTTGTGGTGTGGAAGTGCTGGTGAGTCCAGTGCAAATGCTGCGTTTCCTCCTCCGGAGCTGGGAAGCAGAAACCCCCGGGCAGTGCTGGGTGGTGATGGCAGAGGGTGGTACCAGGGGTGGGAGCAGCTGTAGGGCAGGATCCAGCCTCATCTCCTGCAGGACCCAGGCCCTGCAGTGCCATCCTCTCTATCCCTGTTCCAGTGGGAGCACAGCCAGGGAGGGAGGGAACAGCACCCACCCAAAATCTGGGGCAGCAAAGGGGGCCAGGCTGGGGCAGAGCACCATGAAGTGTCAGCACAGAGGTTTCGGTGGGGAAGGAGAACATTCCACCCATCAAGATGAAGCTAATTCAAAAACCCAGGCAGGAGGCTTCAATAAGCCCAGAGGACCCTGCCAAGAGTCACACTCCCTATATCCAAGTGCACAAAAGCTGGACATGTAAGACATGAAGAAAGCACTGTCGGGGCAGGCCAGTGCCAGCCAGCAAATCTATTACAGTGGGAACATGAAATATTAATCACTGGTGCATAAAACAATAGGAAAAACCTGCCTTTTGGGGCAGCCATCCATCCTCACTCAGCAGGGAACATCAAGAGACACTAATTCCATACAGGTTCTGCTTAAATATTTGCCTCTGCCTTAATGCTCACGCAAGAAGCATTTGCTTTGAAGTTGAAAATAGACTGTAAATGTCTTTTGTGTGAGATGAAACATGATAAGACATGAAACCAGGAGGCTAAACTGTAGTTAATCACGGTGGTTTTACAAGCAACAAATCATTATTGCAGACAGTAAAGTGTATTGTTCTAAAGCACACGGCAGGAGGATCGTGGGGAGAGAGCCCCGGCCGGGCATTGCCATCCAGCACGGGGGGTTTGGGGCCATGGCACCTTGGGGTGCCCACAGGAGCAGCCACTGGGCCGGGTGGATGCTGGGAGGGATGGAATAATGCTGGTCCAGGGGTGGGATGATGCTGGCACAGGGCTGGACTGATGCTCACAGGGCTGGACCAGTGTTGGCAGGGCTGGGATGGTGCTGGCAGGGCTGGGATGATCCTGACAGGGTTGGAATGATCCTGACAGGGTTGGGATGGTGCTGGCAGGGCTGGAACGATCCTGACAGGG